TGCTGGCGTGATACAGCTGGTCCTTGACTTGCCCTCCAGTGCAACATTAATATTTTGCATTTCAAGTTCTTTCACACCTAGAAGTTTTCCTGAGTGTTTTACCTCTTGGGAAAGGGCATTTAAACTGCTGGCTGTGCATACTTATTCAATGGGGTTTTGCTGCATTACATTTAGTAATCATAAATGTTGAATGCAGTAGTATGTAGGGGCTACACATGGGATACAGCGAGAGGTGCCTTATCTCTACACTAGAATTATGCACTTTCTGACTTGTGGATTTAATTGCAAAGGTTTGAATGAGTCCTAAAGTAGAGTACACATTGTTAGATTTGTTTCGGTTTTACTTGTGCATTGAACTAAAAAAAAAAAAAAAAGGAACATATTCCTCCATTTCCCGCTGTAAGCATTGTATTCTGACAGGGGCGCTGGCCGCTGTCAGTATACCCGAATGGTGCTTGCAGCATCTAATGATCGACTTCTATTGAATGAATATGGTCACCAACTGAGCAATTCCCACTCATTCCTGCTGAATTGGCCAAAATCTGCTCTGTGTGTACCCAGCTTTAAACTCACTACTTAGCCGTTTGCTTTTGTTATGAAACATATTTTGACATAAAAAGCATGCAAGTATTTTCTGACCCAATCCAGAGAGAATATGCTTGGTCAATGAAGGATTCTTTATTATGTAAAAGATTCTTATCTAAAAGCCTATAAAAGATAAGAAAAGCAAGAAGCACAAAAATGTTTGAACGAAAAATCACTGAACATCTGGTCTGGGGGCAGGTCTATAATGTCGTAAAGATGCAAATATACAGAGCCGATTGTGAAGACTGACTAGGCCTTGGTGAAAATTTTGGAAAATAAAAAAAAATCAATACTTTATTGGTTAGGCTTTAAAAATAAGAATAAGGCATGACTGTTCATGTATGCAGTCATCAGTATAATAGGTCCTTTTTGTATGAGTTCATTAAGGGACAAAGGGGCAAGTAAGACACAGGATTATGCTACAGCCTTCAGGAAATTTGACACCAGCACACAAAGCTGCAAGACAGTCTAATACAACCAAACCCTAGAGCCGGATTGGTTGAATGGTTTAGTAAAAAGTCAACTAGAAGGGATGACTCAACCCGATCCATAAAAATGCTGTGTGTCGACAGCCCACAACAGGATACAGCACAGATAAAGAACAAATCTGGGCAAATCAAATCTTGACCCTTGAAATGGGGCTACCCCCGCAATGCAAGGGTTAAGTGCTCGTTTTGTCTAGGGAGCTAAAATAAAAAAGGTTTACTCACTTGAACCGCTTTTTTAAAGTTTAGGCTAGAGTTTTTTTTACTGTTATCTGGGGCTCAATTTGAAAGATTCACTCTCATTTCCAGTTCTGTGGACAAAGGTTTCACCTTGCAGCAAGTGAGGTAAAAACTAAAACAAGCACACACTAATGCGAGTTAAAATCTGACAGGAGCTCCATCTTTCCCTCTAAATTAAAAAAAAAAAAGCATTTTTATTTCTGTGTTGCTGTTGGAGACTTCCTTTCACTTCCTCTCTGATAAAATGTTAGCAGGATAGGAAATGGGGGTACATCTCTTTAAAAATGAGCAGTAAAAACAAGGGTCCTAATCTTCCTGTTAAACTACGAAAAAGTCAGTGTATGGTTTGACAAAGTCCAAACTTTCTGCATAGGCATAAGTCCCTAACTTTACAATTTCAAAACTCCATTATGTTACTTGTTCCTTCCTATCCCACCCAAGTCATCTCTAACAAACCTCCCCAAGTAAAAGGGTAAATGTTTAAACCAGTTTCAGTATCTCTTAAAAACCAAGCAGTGGATACAAAGGAAGGCTGGAGATTTATTGCCAGCTGGGTAATAATCAACTGCTACTAGTTCTTAGAATTTGTGATCAAAGTCTTAATAAACTTGCTACACTCCATAAGCCTTCAGCACAGGAAGTTCATGCCCCTTACAAGTGTTCACAGGCAAACAAAACACTTGCCAAACCATCTCAGTGTTACAAAAGACTGTTAATTTATGGGGGCCCCACAGGCATTAACACTTTCATATGCCACCACAGCACTTCAATAGAGCCTACAAATATTTGTCTCTCCCTTTTAGCCAACTTAGGTCTAAGATTGAAATATTATCTGTAAGTAATATAAATAAGCAACTTTCATTCTTCTCTGTAAGGGTTTTAAAAAGGATATTTCACGGCTAACATCTAAGCAGCCGACTACGCAGGAGAGCTAATTTATCAACCCTCTAAGGCTTGGGTCAACAATGTTTCTTTAGAGTCAATATTAAAAAGGGACGAGAAAAAAAAGGAAGGTCAGCCCACCCACAAATGGCATTTTGGTTTAGGATAAGTGATGGAGAGTTGGATCATTCAAAGATATTATCTCTCAGGGGCTCTGTCGGTGAGATATATTTGCACACGAGTTCCCATCTCTGTCTACCCGTCTCAGCTAATATAAATAAATCTCCTTTCACCATGCTGTAAGGGTGGTTTAAAGCATAGGTAAACTCAAGGATAAGGTCTGAATATATCAGCTCACAAGTCCATAGGTATAGTGGTTACGTTTTTTTTGTTTTAGGCTATTTTTTCCTTCATTTGTACCTGGTAATTCTGATAGAAATACTTATTTCTGACAGTGCTCACTTACTATATATCTATGGAGAAGCAGTGTTGTCACCCTCCTTGCTGATGGAGTCACCAAGATATACAAGAAGCTAGCTAATCATTCAGCTCATCAGGAATCAAACTAACTGAAATAATCATTTTGGATGACCGAACCCAAGGTTGTACTTCAAAATAAATATTTATTTAGCAAAGCTAGTTCTATTAAAAATCAACATTAGCATCCATCAAGAAGCCATAGAAAGGATACAGGTAAGTTTAACATTATAATTGGGTGTAATAGGTACCAAAAGTTACCACAGACTATAAAAGAACCACTTGGCAGGTGATTCATATGTTCTTACCACCTGGAGAAATTGAAGTGTTTTTACATATAATGGTCTGCACTTGTAATTGCATTCAAGACCTTAGCCTAGCCTTGAAGCCTAAAGATGCATGAAGATCTGGGCCGAGACTGCCCAGTAGTAGTCTCAGAGCTACCACTGAGCAGTCTTGTAGCAAAGACTGCTAACTTAGGAAGGTTGAAGTAGTTAGGAAGGTTGATGGCTCACTAACTTCATCTTGTAGGATACTGATGATTGGCATTTTCTATCAAGTTCTGAGATAGGAGCACTTAAAGTCAAGTACCCCACTCAATCATTGCATCTTGATATATGCAGTATTAGGATTACCGTAGTGATCTTTCCACAAAAACCACCTATATCAGTAATGGGTTGATGTTAATACATTGTTCTTCTGGCGTTGCCGATGGTAAGCATGTCTTGATGTGTGCAAATAGACAATCTCAAGATGAATCACATTTTACAGGCAATTAACGAGAATGCAGCAGTTCTTTACTCAAAGTAGCATGTTACTGCATGTCTTTCTATTAAATGGACATCACAATACAGTATAAAATGTATTCTCACTGTTGCCATATTGAAAAATTATCTAAAGTGTCCAGACAGAAGAATCAATTGTTCTAGGTTTATGCATCTTATGAGCAACTTTAAAATGTATTTCCACTTTTGCAGCCAAATTGGGATAACACCTATTTTATATTTGTTATATGTTCCAATTCACATAGAATAGGTCAAAAAATAATAATTCAAAAGATGCAGTTTAAATTGTTTTTACTTAGGTTAGGGTTTCTTGGCCTTTAACAGTTAAAATGTATACTTGCTTCTCCTTCTTTGTAATGTTAGGAGGGACTGTGAGGGGGTTAAAGAATTACAACCTGGCTTCCCCACTGTATGTTAATGAGAGAAACACAATCCTCACATTTCAGTTCCAAGTCTTCCTATAAAGGACAGATCACTGTGAAGGTGCTCAGAAGAACCTGGAATCAGCAATGTTGCCTGCTGCAACAAAACATCTAAAAAAAA